GTCTAATTTGGAAGTGGGTAGGTGTACATTCTGGGCTACATTCAGGAGGCAAAGAATCCTGTTTTGGACTTTCCCCTTTTGGTGAGTTATCAGATCCTTTCAGACACCAAAAGAGTCTTCATCTCTATCCTTTAAGGATCAAAACCAAAATACTGGGTTCTTCCTATGAACACTCAGAATTGAAGTAAACCTGGGTGAATTTGGTGAGATTGTCTACCAGGTGAGTGCGTTTAGATTGCAAATATAGATGAATGAAAGACAGGGCCAGAAGGGAAGTATTTCCGGAGTAAAGTTTTCTAGCCGGATCCTAGCAATAGGGACCCTGAAGTGACAACAGGACTGGGAGATGAAATAAGAGGGCTTAGAGGCAGCTTTAAACTATTGTAGAAAAGACTCAGAGATCATCCATCCCCTGGAATGATGAGAGGAAGGAGAAAAACAGCCTAAGGCTGAGAACTACAGAAGCCTGGCCCTGTCTCTTTCTCAAGCTTTTCCACCTAAGCATTTACCTGGAAGTAGAGAGTGACCCCATCCCAAGTGCATATGGAAATATACTCAAACCTGTGGGACTGATCTCCATATTATAAGGACTTAAGGTTCCATTTGTCTCATACCTAGGATATTTAATCATTTGGAGAAGTCTAGGCCAACAAATACCAGGTGGTGTAGGTCTATTTCAGAGTGTTGAGTTTCATCCCTGGACTGCACAAGTCTCTTGTGTCCAAGGTAAGTTTCTGCTGGTCATGAACTTTACTTCTGGTACTCCTGCTATATTTGTGGTGGAATCACCCCAACTGAGAGTTATTTTTAAGCCTAACAGCTCTGATTCCCCAACAGAGAGAAATAAATGGTAAAACCACCTCTGAATATTCCTTGCCAAAGAAAGCCCTATGAAATATATGGGGTCACTGTAAGTCCACATGCAACTTGAAAGCAACACACACACAGAAGATTGGCATAGAAAAGAATTATCTCCCTACCAGAGAGAATTTATGAGGTTTTACCATATCATTGCTGCAAATACTTTGCAAATTCAATACATTCTGTCAGCCACTGTGAAATATTAGGACTTTGGAAAGGGTGTCAGTGTGTGCTAAAATGAATTTTGCTTCATGGCCTTGGGGAAAACATATGATGATGATAGTGATTATTAATATAATATTTATACCCTGTTTTTCTCTCTTGATTAAGGCCAATGGTTGCAATAGCTGGAAGCAAAACCTTGACCAGCTAAAGGCTGGGTTTAGGGCTGACTTTTTATGAAACACTGTTCCTCCACGACATTGACTGACATGTGTCACTTCCCCTTGTCTTGCAGGCACCCTCAGCATAATGCCCTTCAGTTGCCTACTCATGTCAGCTGCCTCCCCCTCCCCCTAAATGAAATTTAGGAGGAAGCCCCATTCCCAAGGCGGCCTTAGGTAATGTTCTGGGCTAGAAGAGTGTTCAAGGCAAGGATGGGAGGTAGTAGCTTTGCTTCTGATGGGCCAAGAGTTAGAAGGAGGGTTAGTAAAATGGGTGGCAAGTCAATGCTACAGAGCCTAACTATTGGAGTAAGGATGGGTTGAAACCTGACTGCATTTCACTTCTGAGCAGTTTACTGGGCCTGGCACTTTCAAAGAGAGTTTGTGTCAGGATAGGAATACTATTTGAGAGGCAAGCTAATATGAGTCTAATTAAGACTTGACTGTGAAAAGTTTTTTGACCTCTATCTATCTAATTGGTAACTTCAATTAGAGCTGGCCTTCTCAATCATTGTCATTTCACCATTGATTACTTGAGGGATCTACTCTAGTTTGAGGCCACTAAACCAATTTCAGCCTCTCAAAACCCAGTCCCATTTTGTGTACTTTGAAGACACTGGAGGGCAGCAGGGGAAGTTCGTTTGGTTTTAAAGAAGACCAAGTCAACAAGTCCCCCGTCCCCGTCCCCCCCCCCCCCGTTTGAGAAGGGCGGGGTAGAAGTACCCGAAATAAATAAATAAATAAATAAATGGTGAGTAAGAGGGGTCACTCAGGCTCCTTCCACACAGCTGAATAAAACCCCACACTGTCTGCTTTGAACTGGAATATATGGCAATGTGGACTCAGATAACCCAGTTCAAAGCAAATATTGTGGGGTTTTCTACTTTGATATTCTGAGTTATATGCCTGTGTGGAAGGGCCCTCATGGGACAAAGAAGTGTTCTTGCTGGTTCAGGACCCACTGATTTTAAATGCCTAGGCCAGAAACAATTGTAGCCAAGGGCAGAGGTTTCCCTAACATATGGCAGAGGTTTCCCTGACATATTGGGAAGAAAACTACAGATCCCCTATATTAAGAAACTTGAGGTGCCCTCTCTTCAGTGATTGTTGAGATCTGAAACGACAATCCTAACCTTTGCAGCTATGGAGCAAATGCAACCAGTGGGCCTTATTTCTGGTTTTGTTGTAAGGCTGGCAATGGCACCCCTTCTTTGTCAGGAAGGAGGCCCCATTCAACCGAATGGGGTTCTTTATTTAGAGGTAAATGCATCTAGAATCTACTTGCCACACTTGGGTCAGATTCCTATGTCAAAATGCTGGGACGCTGTTAGCAGCATGGCTTCAGTATGACCGCTTCCTTGAAGGGAACCCTCGCTATAGGATTTGCCAGCAAAGATAGAAGACATTCCTCTTTTGGGGAGTTCTCTTTCTGCACCGGTCTTTCAAAGTTTCATCTCTGGGCCCTTCCACATAGCCCTATATCCCAGAATATCAAGGCAGAAAATCCCACAAGATCTGCTTTGAACTGGGTTATCTGAGTCCACACTGCCATATATCCCAGTTCAAAGCAGAAAATGTGGGTTTTGATTCAGCTGTGTGGAAGGCGCCTCAGGCTGCGCAACCCCAGACTGTGGTTCAGAGAGGGCTTTGAAGCCAAGAGCCAAACTTCTGGCGCTTTGAGGCTGCAACCCTGGCTCGGAAAGCAAGCCCTGCTGGCTTTAGCGGCCCTGGTTCACCAGCCAAAAACGCTGCAAACCGAAAGGGACCGCAGCTTCAGCAGATCTTTGTGGCATGCACTTCCCAGGGGTAGAAAGTTGGGCCGGACTCCTCACTGGATCTCAAGAAAGACAAAACAAAACACTAGCCAAAAGGGCGCGCTGCTCAAGCCGCATCTACTCTGAAGAAATAATGCAGTTTGGCACCACTTCTAATTCCGTGGCTCAAGGCTGTGGGGCTCTAGTTTGATGAGGCACCAGCACTCTTTGGCAGAGAAGACTAGAAAGCTACAATTCCCGAGCTTCCATAGTCTTGAGCCATGGCAGTTAAAGTGGAGAACTACATTCCTTCTAAAGTGTAGATGCGCCTTTCGCGATATGTATATTTTCCAGGGGCGGAAAGTTAGGCCCACTTCCAACAAGATCTCAATAGGGACAAAATATAAAAACACCCACCAAAAATACCCACCGATCAGGGCCCTTCCACACAACCATATAACCCAGAATATCAAGACAGAACATCCCACATTATCTGCTTTTGAACCCCAATTATGGCAGTGTGGACTCAGATAACCCAGTTCAAAGCAGATATTGTGGGGGTCATTTCACACAGCCCTATATCCCAGGATATCGTGGCAGAAAATCCCACAGTTCAAAGCAGATAATGTGGGATTTTCTGCCTTGATACTCTGGGATATAGGGCTGCATGGAAGGGCACTGGGGCCCCTTCCACACAGCCGAATAAAACCCCACATTATCTACTTTGAACTGGAATATATGGCAGTGTAGATTCAGATAAACCAGTTTAAAGCAGATATTGTGGGGTTTTTTGCCTTGATGTTCTGGGTTATATGGCTCTGCGGGCCCTTCCACGTAGCCCTATATCCCAGAATATCAAGGCAGGAATCCCACATTATCTGAGTGTGGACTCAGATAACCCAGTTCAAAGCAGACATTGTGGGATTTTCTGCCTTGATATTCTGGGTTATATGGCTGTGTGGAAGGGCCCTCAAGTTTTGACACCACTTGAACTATTTAGCGAGTTGAGGGTACAGGGTAGAGGGCTGAGCTGCCTTGGCTCGTGACTGTGGAAGCCTGGGATGTGTAGTTTAGTGAGGCACCAACACTTTTTGGTAGGGAAGGCATGTAAAACTACAGCTCTCTTGATCCCATAGCACTGAGCCATGTCGATTCAAGCGGCATCAAGCTTACATTCATTCTACATGGTAAAACTGATATGTATATTTCCCAGAGGCGGAAAGTTAGGCCGACTTCTAAGAGGATGTCAAGCAAAGCAACATAAAATAATGTCCTTCGCTCAGAGTTTGACACCCCTTGAACTGCCTGGGCTCCAGGCAGTCCTAGTTGGATGTTGGGTTGTAGGCCCTGCCACACAGCCCTATATCTCAGAATATCAAGGCAGAAAATCCCCCAATATCTGCTTTGAACTGGGTTATCTGAGTCCACACTGAGATAATGTGGGATTTTCTTCCTTGATATTCTGGGGTCTAGGGCTGCGTGGAAGGGCCCGTAGTTTGATGCCAAATTGCATTCATTCTAGTGACGATTAGGCATGGGCAAACTTTTGCCCTCCAGGTGTTTGGGACTTCAACTTCCACCCTTCCTAACAGCCTCAGGCCCCTTCCTTTCCCCCCTCAGCCGCTTAAGGGTCCAAAACACCTGGAAGGCCGAAGTTTGCCCATGCCTGCTTTAGTTTGCCCATGTCAGGTGTTTTGGATTTTGTAGGCGTCTCCAAAAAATCTGGGGGGGGGGGGGCGAAATTTACCCATGCCTGCTTTAGTTTGCCCATGTCAAGGATTTTGAACTTTGTAGGAGTCTCCAAAACACCTGGAGGGCCGAAGTTTGCCCATGCCTGCTTTAGTTTGCCCATGTCAGGGGTTTTGGACTTTGTAGAAGTCTCCAAAACACCTGGAGGGCCGAAGTTTGCCCATGCCTGGTGTAGATGCACCCCTTGGTAACAGAAAGGTGCAGAAAGGATCCCAAGAAATGCAAACTCAAGGAAGAAGGGCCCGGTTCCTACCTTGAAGGCGATGGGGAGGGTCTTGTTGCACCTCCAGTGGGTGGGCAGGACGGAGCAGAGGAAGTTGGGGCTGTCGGTGCGGACCAGCTCTCCCGGGTGGTCGGCTAGGACGTCGACCATGCTGCGATCGGCGCTCCTCAGCTTCCCGGCCAGGACGACGGCGGTGCCTCCTCCTCCTCCGCCTCCTCCTCCTCCGTTGCTCTCCTGGCCTCCCAGCGGCATCGCCTCGCTCATCTTGCCGGGGCTCAGCGTGGTGGAGGGCGGCGTGAAGCGGCGGCTGGTGCCGGTATCTACGGGGATACGCATCACAACAAGCCTTTTGAGTGGGGGAGAAGCTCCGGAGAGGAGGGCTGCGGGCAAAGCGAGCGGGGCCGAGCTCTTCCGCGGCGGGACCCCGCATACAAGGCAAGGATCAAGGCTGCCACAGTCCTGCTGCTGCTGCTGCTGCCATCACAGTCCATCCAGGCATCGTCTCTCTTGGAAAGCCACGGCGCCACCGCGGAGCCCCCCTCTCTCTCACACACACACTTTAGGACAGATCTTTCTCTTTCTCTCTTTCTTTGCTGGATTAATGAGGAAACGGCCCTTCAAAGATCCCAACCTCAAACAGACACACTCAGAGAGAGAGAGAGAGAGAGAGAGAGAGAGAGAGAGAGGCTAGGAAGGAAACGCGAGGCGCTCACTCCAAACCACACGCAAAAAAAGAATGGGAGGGACTCCAAAGAGTTTTCAGTAGTCAAGTTTCCTATCTCCTCCTCCTCCTCCCACTGAATCCAGATCAAAAGCCTCTTCGGTTGGAGGAGGAAAGAGAAAGCGAGAGAGAGAGAGAGAGAGAGAGAGAGAGAGAAGGCATACACATCCGCTTCGAACTCAGGGATGTTTTTCCCTCGCTCTCTCCAAAGGTCAACCGGCTAGCACGGTAATATACATATATATAAATATATACTGCGCTTCATCAAATATTTACAGCCCAATCTATAGAGGGTTTAAACCCCGCAGGAGTCCATTAATATGCCCGGGAGGTCTTTCTTTCTTCCTTCCCCTCTCTCGCTCTCTCTTCCTTGTTTCCTCTCAGCCTCTCCAGCCTTTGGTGCTGCTTCCTCTTAAGCCCCGCTGTCCGGCTCGCTTTCGCAAGGCTTTGGGCCCCTGCCACGCGTGGGCGGCTCCGTGGACGGCGGAAGGAGAAGAAGAAGAAGAAGAAGAAGCCTGGGCAGGGCGGGAGGGGACGGGGCAGCCCTCCGAAGAGAAAGCAGGGAAAGACACACACACACAGAGAAAGAGAGAGAGAGAGAGAGAGAAGCCCTTGGGCTCTGGCTTGTGGGTTCCTCCTGCGGTGGAGGCGCGCAGGCCACTTTCCCCACGCCTCCTGAAGCCACCCAACCCTCTGGTGAGTCACGGCCAACGCTCGGGCGAAGGAAAGAAAAGAAACATAACCCCTCAAAGGCGGAGGGAAACCTTCCACAGATTCAAAAGCCACAGCAGGTGGAGCTGTGGGTTGCTGCCCTTCCACGGTCGTCTCTCTCGCACACTTTTCCCTCAGCCTTCCTCCTCCTCCCACTCTCTGAGGCTCAAGCGCTCCTAGACACACTTTCGCTCTTCCTCCAACTCTCTGAGGCGCCACTCCTCCTCCTCCTCCTCCTCCTCCTCCTTGCCCCGAAGCAGAGCAAAAGAACAACTGAACGATAGCCACTTTCTCCTCCGTGAGAGAAAAAGTACAGAAAGCAAGAAAAAGGGAGAGAAGGAGAGGCGCCGGTTTCCCTCAGAGCTTCGCCTGCTTCCAAAGCGGAAGAGGGCTTCACGTGTTCTCCACTCTCCGCATAGCATATGATGATGAAGGGGGAGGGGGGAGTGCTGTGTTGTGTGGGTGACCTTCTGGGAGCCGCTGTTTGTTTGCTTTTGCTGCTCCAAATGAAGAAAGAAAGAAAGAAAGAAAAGAAGGGGGGCTCGTTTCCTCCCCTCCCGCCCCCTCCCTCTCTCCTTCCTTCTCCCTCGCGCCTTCTGGCTCTTATGAATGGAGATTGACTGGAAATGAATGTGCTTTTACAGTAAGGGAGTCCGGAGGAATGCCGTTCCCTCGGCTCTTTTGCATAAAAGGAGGCTGCGGGCCAATCAGAGCCCTCCCCGGGAGAGGCTCCTGGAATTGGCCGAGGGCTGGCGGGCCGGGGCGAGCGCACGAGCGAGGGAGGGAGCGCGAGACCGACGCGGCTCGCGGCTACTGTACGGAGGAGCCCCCTCAAAGGCAAGGCACAGCAAGGCGACGCTCGCAGAAGGGAGGCCGGCTGCGGCTTTGCGTTGAGGCTCCGGCCGCAAAAGGCGGGCTGCCGCGGTTCTGCCGGGTGGGGAGGGAGGGAGGCAGGGAGGGGCGTGTTTGTGGAGCACCGCAGCGGTTGTGGGAAGCCAGCGCTCGGCCTCAGCGGTCTCCCTCCGGGCGAGCTCTCCAGTCAGAGCCTCGGTGGCTGTGTGCCTTCCCTTTTCCGACTTATGGTTGGCCTGAAGGGGGTCTGCCTTTGCCTTCCTCTGAGGCTGAGAGAAAGAGACTTGTCAACATAATGTGGTCCATTATGAGCAGGGCCACTGAGAGAGTGTGACATGCCCAAGGCCACCCAACTGGGTTTCCCACACCGTAGAATTAGTGCAGTTTGATATTTATTTATTTACGACATTTCTATGCCGCCCTTTTCACCCTGAAGGGGACTAAGAGCAACATATTATATTATATTATATTATATTATATTATATTATATTATATTATATTATATTATTAACATAGCACAATATCAGTATTATGTATTACTATATTGTACTATACCATTATATTGTAATATTATTAGTAATATTACATGTAATATAAAATATATAATTATAATATTGTATTATTATTAGTATGATATTGAATTACATTATAATATAAATATTATATGTATATACAATATAATTTAATATATTGTATATACATACAATATTTATAATATTATAATGTAATACAATATAATATTAATATATACTATATATTATATTATACTTATACTATATTATATTATATTATTAGTATAGCACAGGAGACAAGGTGGAATGGCCTTCCTGGCCCCTCTCTCTTCACTCTGGCCTGGAGCAGCAGTTGGTGCTGGGGGGAGCTGCCTGTTGGCATAGGCAGGAGACAAGGTGGAATACCTTGCCATGATGGGTATTACACATGAGATCCTGGAACTTGTGGTTTTGCAAGTCCTTTAGCCTCCTCTGCTGTGGTTCCATGGCATTGAGCCATAGCAGCCAAAGTGGTGTCAACTGCATGCAGTGTCAACTGCATTAATTCTACCATGTAGATGTACCTTCTGATGCTCAGGATTGCTATGTGCTCTGGTTTCAGACAGTTTCTTGGCCTTTGCTTTCCTTCCTCCAGCCTGAGAGAGGGTGACTTGCCCAAGGCCACCCAGTCAGTTTTCATGGCTCAACAGAAATTCAAACCAAAAATCCTAGTCCAGTGCTGCTTCAAACTAGAACACCAAGTTGGTTCTCACAAAATGGTAAAGTAGCATAAGAAACCCCATGCATCCAACAGGCCACTGGTCCTGCCTTTTCAGCTCCTCCTCCCACTCAGTCAAGGTTATCCTGTCTTGACTAGCTGCTCAACAAAAACATTCATATGCCAACACCACAACCACTGTTAGATTTCCACATAGGAGGCTTACTTCAAGGTTTTTTTTCCATGTCAGAAATGACTTGAAAAACTTCTGGTGTGACCTCACAACCTTTGAAGATGCCTGCCATAGATGTGGGCAAAACGTCAGGAGAGAATGCTTCTGGAACATGGCCATACAGCCCAGAAAACTCAGATCAACCCAATAATGGTTTCTTTTACTCTTAACAGAAAGTTAACAGGAAGTTTTAAGTCCAGGCAAGCAGTGAGTGGAATAGGATCCCTGATATACCCCAGACTCCTGAACATCATGCTGTAATCCGGCCTTTCTCAAAGATTCTTTTTCTTTTTCAGTTCAGTGGTTCTCAACCTGTGGGTCCCCAAGTGTTTTGGTCTACAACTTCCGGAAATCCCAGCCAGTATACCAGCTGTTAGGATTTCTGAAAGTTGAAGGCCAAAACATCTGGGGACCCACAGATTGAGAACTACTGCTCTAAGCATTCCCTACCACTAGGTAGAGCCAAGTGACTCCTCTGATTTACATGATCCAGGTGCAATGAATATAATCTTAGTTATCTATCTGTCTGTCTATCTATCTATCTATCTATCTATCTATCTATCTATCTATCTATCTATGTAATCTTAGTACTTCTCATAAACCAACAAGATCAATGGTAAGGAGTGAAGATCCAAGACAAATGGAAGAACCACCCTTTAACACATAATGTGGTCCAGTACTGAAACAACCTACTCAGGTAGGCAGGGGGGGGGGAGAGAAAAGGTTTGGCTTCAGGGCTGGATTAAGATATGCTGAGGCCTTACTAACTTTTAAAAAGCCCAATAACATTCACACTCCCACAAGTATTATTCTAACAGCTATGTAAATCTTGGAGTTGTAATCTGAGGTTCTAGGCCAGGGGTAGGGAACCTTTGGCCCTCCAGCTGTGGTGGACTTCAACTCCCACAATTCCTTGAGGCTCGGCATTGGGCCAAGGTAAGCCTTTGGGGCGAATGCCGAGCCTCAAGGAATTGTGGGAGTTGAAGTCCACCACAGCTGGAGGGCCAAAGGTTCCCTACCCCTGTTCTAGGCTGTAGTTTGTCTACCTTGGGCATACCTCTGCTCACATTAAAACCTGTCCACTCAGGACTCCCTGCCATCTATGTTATGCTTTCCCTCAAGGAACTTGCAAAATACTGTGGCTACCAGCTGTCAGTAGGAGACAAAGCAATCCATCAAATGGGAAGTGGGATTTAGTTCTGTGAGACTTTGGGAAGTAGAGGCCAAGTGACAGAAAACTGCAGGTCTGTTACTGAGGTAGAGTGTGGATTCAGGGTTCTCAATAGGCTATATTAAAGGATGCCACTAAGATGCTATTTTTTCGAAAGGCATTCCAACAATACATCCATGATTCTGGACATTGTAATGCTTTGAAACTTGATCTTTGTGATATTGATCAGGCAGTCCTGCTTCACATAGACTATATTAATTAGAGCCATCTTTCCAACCAGACCAAAATCACTTTACATCTCAGTGTTCAGACACCAGTCTAAAAGAGATGCACTGATTTGTTTATATAAAGCGGGTATTAAAGATGGTTGGGTTTCATCCCTGGACTGCACAAGTCTCTTGTGTCATCAAGTTTCCAGACCTCATTGAGTAGCTAGACTAGAGATAGGATTAGGCTGAGGGATTCCCCCCCTCCCCCACATTCCTATGCATGTTTCCCAAAAGGGCTTTATCTCTCTTCCTCCTTTCCACTGTCTCCTCCGCTTTGATGATATAGCAATGAAATTCTGTGAGGGAATTTCCTTTTTGATCCTAAAGTTCTGACTCTGCAGTCCTGTGCCATCCTAAGGAATAGAAGCTTATCATAACTCATCACATGTAAATTTCTGCTAGTTATGCAGTTTACTTCTAGTACTCTGCTATATTTATGGTGGAATCACCCCAACTGAGGATTATTTTTGAGCCTAACAGCTCAGATTCCCCAACAAAGGGTTATGGGCCCAGCATGTTTCCATTGCACCACTCTTCTATATTTATGGTGGAATCACACCAACTGAGGGTTATTTTTGAGCCTAACAGCTCAGATTCCCCAACAAGGATAAGTAGAAAACTGTAGTTTTACAGGTCTTTAAACTTTTCTGCCAAAGAATGCTGATGCCTCATAAAACTACAACTCCTATGGTTCCATAGCATTGAGTCATGGGAGTTAGTGGTGTCAAACTGCATTCATTCTACCATGTGGATGTACCCTAAGATTTTCTTTATAAATGGTATGTGATAAATTGTATTGGACAGAGAAGATGAGGCAAACCTCTAATTGCCCAATCTCATGTCAGATTCCCTCTGGAGATCTTGGGCCTACCACTAACATTCAGCTTTCTCTCATCACTGCAGGTTGCTGCAAGGATACCAGGATAGATGATATACCTTACCATTGAAGGAAGCCTGGAGTATTCAACTGGATCTCATAAGGAGTGATCATAGCATGAACATACTTTGCATGCATAAACATCTTCAGTTGAAAGAATCAGTCAGAAACAATTGCTAGTTGGAATGGACCACACTGGACGAGAGGAACAGTGGCAGTAATGAAGGCAGGCAGGTACTGGAGCAGAGACCTGCTTGGGGCCTGCAGTTATTGACCACCTTCTCTTGCTACTAAGTACCTATGGAAAAAGTGCAACAGTTAGTGTAGTACACCAATATACTTTGGACCATAGTCCGACCAGGTATAAGGCAGCCCAAGTCTAGGCAATGCTGCTTCATTTGTAATACTAGAATTATGTCAACATGTCACAAGGTGCTTCACATGTGATTGTCTGTCGCACTGAATTCAAACATGTCTTTTGTTTCTAATTTTGAAGGAGGATTTTCCCCACTAATGAAAGTTGTCTTTGTGTAGCCAAAGGAAAAAAAAGTTTGAAGCAAAGCCCAATTAGCACCCACTTTCCCCAAAGGAAAAAAGGAAGTATGGATAGGAAATGTGTGGCTTTCCAGAGATTGTCAAACTACAGCTGCTATCATTCCTCACATTGGCAATGGGCACTTCTACAAAAGAACATTTGTATGGCACAATTTTCTCCATCCTTCATTCAGTTGCTCTTGTTTCCTCTCATTATTTTTTTAAAAACAATATTTTGAATCATTATCATCTGCCTCTTAATTCTTGCTTTGAAAATCCTTTAGAGCGCAAGGATTTAACCTCTTCCCCCAACTTTGACTGCAATGTATGTTCCTTTTTTGCTGCTACTTTGATTGCATAAGATCTTGCTCAGAGCAGCACTGTGGCAATTTCCATATACTCCAGCTCAAATTAATTCCATTTTGGTCACTGGAGTTGATTACTGTGTATGTGTGCTTGTGTATTTCCTGCTCATCCCTATCAGAGACAGTGGTGTAGAATGAATGAAGTTTGGTTCCTCTTCAACTGCTATGGAATCATGGGGGCTATAGTTTGGTAAGGCACTGGAATTATGTATTTGGCAGAGAAGGGTGATGAACTTGTACTCTGGTTCCACAGTACTGGGCTGTGGCCATTAAGGTGGTGCCAAACTGCATTAATTCTACAATATAGATCAGGCATTGGCAAACTTGGGTCCTCCAGGTGTTTTGGACTTCAACTCCCACTATTCTTAACAGCCCCAGGCCCCTTCCTTTTCCCCTTCAACCACTTAAGCAGGAAAGAAAGAGGTCTGAGGCTGTTAGGAATGGTAGGAGTCAAAAGGAAGGGACCTGAGGCTGTTAGGAATGGATGGAGTTGAAAGGAAGGGGTCTGAGGCTGTTAGGAATGGGGGGAACTGAAAGGAAGGGGCCTTAAGCTGTTAGGAATGGTGGGACTTGAAGTCCAAAAAACCTGAAGGGCCCATATTTGCCCAGGCCTGAGCATGTTTAGCCTGGAGAAGGCTGAGAGGAGACATGGTAGCCATGTATAAAAATATGTGAGAAGAAGTCATAGGAAGGAGGGAGCAAACTTGTTTTCTGCTGCCCTGGAGACTAGGACGCAGAACAATGGCTTCAAACTACAAGAAAGGAGATTCCACCTGAACATTAAGAAGAACTTCCTGACTGTGAGAGCTATTCAGCAGTGCCCCTGAATGTGGTGGAGGCTCCTTCTTTGGAGGCTTTTAAACAGAGCACTTCCTGGGGTCAGGAAGTGCTGAGGAGGCCCCTGCTTTATCCAAATTGCTGGGGATCAAGAGGGAAAGGCGTGGATGGGGAAAGAGGAACTAGTTTCCCAAGAGAGAGACAGTCCCCAGCACGTTAGTTATAAAAAGTCCGTTGCTTGAATCTGCAACTTGGAAGAAACCGCACTGGTCTGGGAGGGGAGGAGGGCCGAGACGGGCGCTGGTGCAATCGCTTGGAGGAAGCGGCTGTCCTTGGCAGAGTGGGCTCTTTCTCGGGACTTTGGCGCGACCCACAGTTGCGGATTGCGCAACCCAGCCCGGAAACCTCAAGCCAATGGAGCGGCGCTCGAAGATCCCGCTGCAGTGACAGGGAAAGGGCGCTAGAGGGGGCACGAAGCCTTCGACCTGCCCACGCGGGCAAAGACGCGAGAGAAGCGCCGGGGGACTCACCTGTCGGTCCCCGAAATGCCCCACGCAGCCTCTCCCTCTTGGCATGGCCCTAAGACAGGCATGGGAAACCTGGGCCCTCCCTCTAGGTGTTTTGGACTGCAACTCCCACCATTCACAGCCTCAGGCTGAGGGGTGAAAGGAAGGGCCTGAGGCTGTTAGGAATGGTGGGAGTTGCAGTCCAAAACACCTAGAGGGAGGGCCCAGGTTTCCCATGCCTGGTATACACCCAAAGTCTCCCTCCTCCTCTCTTTTTACCTCTGCAACCCTTATTTGAAGCCAAAAAAACCCAAAACAGATCCGCTCACAAAAGCGCAGTGAGTCACTGGGCTATCGTTTCACGACTTAATCCGAGCGATTAGCTCTCATCAAGAGGCGCAGTCCTCCTTCGAGTCCTCTTTGTCCTGACAAGTGGCACAACCCGCAAAACAGTCATCCGGCGGCGGCCAAGCTCAAGGCGGGGACCAGGCTTTAGGCGTTAAGCCCGTATGTTGTCAGGCCTAAATCTCTCCCCCCACCCCCAATGAGCCAAATCCCCTCTGATTCTGGAAGCCAAGCAGGGCCGGATCTGGTTAGTTCCTGAGTGGGCAAACGCCAATCAAATACCAGGTGTTGTAGCCTGTATTTCAGAGGAAGGAACGTGCAAAACCACCTCTGAGTGGTTTGCTGTGAGTTTTCCGGGCTGTATGGCCATGTTCCAGAAGCATTCTCTCCTAACATCTCATAGAATCATAGAGTTGGAAAAGATCTCCATGGCCACCCAGTCCAACCCTCTGCCAAGAAGCAGGAAAATTGCATTCAAAGCACCCCCGACAGATGGCCATCCAGCCTCTGTTTAAACGCTTCCAAAGAAGGAGCCTCCACCACACTCCGGGGCAGAGAGTTCCGCTGATGAACCGCTCTCACAGTCAGGAAGTTCTTCCTAATATTTACATGGAATTTACAGGGCAGCAGAAAACAAGCTTGCTCCCTCCTCCCTATGACTTCCCCTCACCTATTTATCATGCCTCCTCTCAGCCTTCTCTCTTCAGGCTAAACATACCCAGCTCTTTAAGCCACTCCTCATAGGGCTTGTTCTCCAGACCCTTGATCATTTTAGTCGTCCTCCTCTGGACACATTCCAGCTATGGCAGGGCCAGCTAACACCTCCCAACAAAGGATCCCCTCAGGCAGGAAGCAGCCAGGCTTTGAAGCTGCAAGGCCATCAAATGCTAATCAAAGTGACCAAAGGTCGAGGGGTGAAAGGTTGAGGGGTCTGTTGTAAACTAGGAAAGTGGGGTTTATATACCTCTGGATATATAAACCTCACTTGCCTAGTTTCCAACAGACATCACAACCTCTGAGGATGCCTGCCGTGGATGTGGGCGAAACGTCAGGAGAGAATGCTTCGGAACATGGCCATACAGCCCGGAAAACTCACGGCAACCCAGTGATTCAGCCATGAAAGCCTTCAGACACCACTTCTGAGTATTCCTTGCGAAAAAAACCCCCTTGGAATAAATCGACAGCCGATTTAAGGGCAGGCAGGGACACTTTGTCTGGTGGGGACACCTTATTCCCCTCCCGCGTGAGAAGGAATGGGGAGCGCCTCCTGGAAGTTTGAAACTGTGTTATATAACGGGGCAGATGGGACCCCAGACTCCTAGCCTTAGAGGAACTTCACGCTTCTTTTAGGAATAGAGACCAGGTATCCAAAGCAAAAGGAAAGACAAAGATACCAAGGAATTTGAAAACAACAAACAGGCGATTCTCTCTCGACAATGCCAGAAATCTGGGGAACGAAACTCCCAAAGTAACTGGAAAGTTCCCGAAGCTCAGCTGGATGGCCATCTGTCGGGAATGCTTTGTGGCAGAGATTTGAACTGGAGTCTCTTCTAACTCTATGATTTTCTCAAAAAAGTGAGTGATCTGCGGCGGGATTATCTGTTTATCCCGGATTAATAGGCAGTTTAGACTGATATTATCCAGTTCAAAGCAGATCATCTGGGATCGGATCCTGAGATATAGGGCAGTGTAGATCCAGGGCCTGTCCACACAGACATATAACCCAAAACATCAAGGCGGGAAATCCCACAGTATCTGCTTTGAGCTGGAATATATGGCAGTGTGGACTCAGATAACCCAGTTCAAAGCAGATATTGTGGGATTTTCTACCTTGATATTCTGGGTTATAGGGCTGTGTGGAAGGGTCCCTAGCCTACATGAAACCCGAACTGAAATAGGTGGACCTCCTCCTACTAATGGACCGCTTTTGGAAGAAAGGAAGCCACTGTCGATTAAAGATCCCGCCTTCACTGCCAGGGAATCCTGAGAGCTGAAGTTTGGTGACCCTCTTGGCCAGAGAAGGCTGCCGTCCTGTTGGCTTCCCCTGTCTTTAGTATGATATGCTATTCGCAATCCGAATCAAGATGGAGAAGTCCGTAATTTCACTGTTTCTACACTCCTTGGGTTGCCTTTAGATGCCAACCATCGAATGGATGAGGGTTAAGATCTCAGCTATTGTCGGGAAACCCTTTAACCCGGCTTCACCGAAATAGATCTTCAGCCAGAATTGTTTATTAAACGCAGCAAAACTAGAAATATATACTATATATATATATATATATATTGAGCCATGTCAAGGGTGTCAAACTACACCAATTCTACAGTGTTGGTGCACCCTAGGTAAGCCATTCGTTGGAAAAGTATTTACAGCTCAAGCATTTTATCAGAAATAAATACCTTTCAATCAACAGATCCAGTCTGAGATTTTATGCTAAGCAGGGTCAGTCCTGGTTAGTTCTTAGATGGGAGACGGCCAAGGTGTGGGCAAAAACACCTGCATTCCTTACCAGAGAAAATCCTGTGAAATGTCAGGGATTGCCTTAAATCGGCAGGTGATTTAAAGGCACAAATCCAATTGGACTAGCTCCCAAATAAATGTGTGAATTGGGAATTGCCAATAGTTCTCTGTGCCCTAAAAGGCGGCCACTGCGTGTCCACGTGTGTATGTATGTATATGTGTATGTAATGTATATGTATATTAAATGTCTATTTGTACTTATAAACACAACTGCGTTTTGTGTTTATAGGTCTGTCCCTGCAGATCCCAGTCTCGTTGCAGCCATTGCCATTGACTTCTGTCTAAATATACATCAAGCTATCCAAGTGTGGAGATGGTCTCACCACTTCTGTGCTGTTGAATATTTTGGGCGCGCTCGAATGAGGAAACCCATCTCCTTTCCTCTCAGCGTCCTGATATCTTTCTGCCGACTTTATCATTTCCCCCCTTTTGCAGCAATGTGCATTTCTAAGGGGTGTCGAAACTGAGAAAGGAGAAGGCACGTTTGAAAAGCACGCCTCTAGGTTGCAGCCTCTTTTTTCCTTTACCTGTTTTGCATTGATTTGCCTTTTATTATTTGATTTAAACCAGTTTTGAAGCGAATAAATTATTCTGGATTTTTTTTTTAAAAAAATTAAGACTAGAATTTAAAAGCAGCAAAACAAGGGCACCTCTCAAAAATATTTGGGCGTGTGTTTCCATCGACTAGATTAATAACTTCTAGATGTAATGTCGGCGGCTTTCATGGCCGTTGCT